CCTCCCAGGGACCTCCTGCCTCCTCCCAGGGACCTCCTGCCTCCTCCTCCCCTGCAGTTCTGCAGGGGCCGGGGCCACCACAGCCCCCTGGAGCAGAGCTGGTGTGGGATAGCAATGTGGGACATCACACAGGGCCCCAGGAGGCATCAGTGGGGTCCTGTGGCCGCCACCGGGATCTGGATCAGGTTTGAGTGATGGGGGTGGCACGTGCTGGTGCCACCACGCCCCAAAACTCCCTTTCCATGCACACCAGAGTGGATCTGCCCTGCACTGGGAGCAAACCCCACGGGGGCTCTGCAAGCTCTGCTCTGGGCAGGGTAAAGAGTTTCACCCAAGGGAAAGATCACAAAGACACCAAGGAGAGTTACAGCTGTTACCCAAAACCACCACCACGTCCTCTGAGGGCAGAAAACTCCACAATCAGCATCTCAGCTACAGCACAAATGGTTATTCTGCAACTCCAGAACACTGGGGCGACTTAAAACCAGGAAACCAACCCAAACCCACGCAGTGGGTGGAACACGGCACTTCTGATCGCTCCAGTGCTCCCCTGGGCACACAGAACCACCCAAGGCAAACACAGAGTGAGAGTGGAGCAGGTGCTGCACAGGGTCTGTGCCCTATCCTTATGTTCAAAGTTTAGCCAAGGGTTCTCCAGGCGCTCCCAAAACCCACTAAGGCAGCGGAGAGGGGAGCAGCCCCTTCCTGTCCCCTCCCTCCATCATCTGTTCCTGGATTTTGGAGAGAAAGGAACCAGCAAAACATGGCTGCACTTTCTCTGCCAGGTCTGGGGGTGCCAGGGGGATGAGGACATTCCCTGAGTCAGCCAGGCACGGAGCTCAGGAATGGCTCCAGTTTACAGGAGGGGCAGCACATCCCCTTTCTGGGCTACAAGGAAAGGAGGAAACCCGTGATTCTCTGGCAGGTGGGTGTTTGGTTTCTATTCCTGACTCATTGATAAGAGCTTTGGAAATGCTGTGGATACTGAGAGGGATGTTCAGCCATCACTCAGGCTGAATCACAGCTAAGGAAAGGAGAGGAAGTGATCCTTCCACTCCTGTGTTCCAAAGGCAAGAGCTGGAGTGATCTGGATAATGTAACAGAGGAAGCAGCAGCAGAGCTGCACCAGGGCTCGTGGCACCCAGGACAGATGTGATGGGACAGGGAGGCACAGCCCAGGGACAAGGCTGATCCTCCACAGCAGGATCGACCCCGCTGCCCAAGGACAACGGGAGAAGAAAACTGCCCAGAGAAGCTGTGGCTGCCTCACCCCTGGAAGTGTCCAAGGTCAGGCTGGATGGGGCTTGGAGCAACCTAGGACAGTGGAAGGTGTCCCTGCCCATGGCAAGGGGTGGAACAAGATGAGCTTTAAGGTCCTTTCCAGCCCAAACCATTCTGGGATTCTGAGATTCTACGAAAAACAGAGGAAACAGAGCACGGAGCAAACCATGAGCAGCTCATGAAGCACCAGGGCAGCATTTCCCAATGTCACCATTTGGTCCATCTGCAACCCAGCCCAGAGCATCCACAGCTCAGAGCTCTGACAAGCACGAGAAGCAGCTGTTGGAGCCAGGAGAGAAAGCGGCCACCAAGGACAAAGGACAGTGAGAGCACCCAGGGGAAGCAGCCAAGAGCCTCCCGAGGAAGGCGAGCTGCCAGCTGGGGTGTTGGGAGCAGGACCAGCTCCCACCCACAGCCCGGGGAGCTGCTGAGCTTGGACAGGGGAACAGCCCCACTCCCAGGGACAGGACCAGCATTTTGGGAATGGCACCAGGGAAGTGTCTGGCACAGCTGGAAGTGACAGGCAGGGGAAGGGGAATGGGAACAGGCAGAATTCAAAGGGTTCCATCCCAAGAGGGTGCACAGAGGCCCCATAGCCACAGCACAGGCTCACACCACGGGAACCTTGTACAGGCCAACTCCAAAAGATCTGGCAAGAAAATCAAAGCCACTTTTCCACCAGTACAGACAGCAACCAAAACCTCCCCAAGGTTCACTTTCTGCTTCAAACGTTCCAAGTATTCCCACGGCACCTTTCATCCCGGGGCACACAAAGGCACTGGGTCCCTGGCAGTGTGTACACATTCCCTGGGCTTTGAATACTGTCTTTGTACCTGTCCTGAGCTGGTGCATCCAAGGACACACCACACCCTGCGGAGCCTCCTCACTGGGAGAGGGACACAGGGCTGCTCCTGCTGCTCCAAGCTGTGTCCCTGGGGCTTTCCAGGGCAGTCCCAGGCAGAGGTTCACAGAATCCCAGGATATGCTGAGCTGGAAGGGACCCTCAAGGATCATCCAGTCCAACCCCTGGCCCTGCACAGGCCCAGCCCCAAGAGTCACCCCCTGGGCCCCAGAGCATCATCCAAACCCTCCTGGAGCTCTGGCAGCCTTGGGGCTGTGCCCACTGCCCTGGGGAGCCTGGGCAGTGCCCAACCAGCCTCTAGGGGAAGAACCTTTTCCTCTGGCCTTACACAAAATGCCTCCCCAAAGTCCTGGCTCCTGTGGGCTCTTGGTGCTCTGTACTTTCTGGAGCAAAGCCTGGATCACTTTGCCCAGGTGCAATCCATGACCACAGCCCAGAGATTTTTCATAGAATCACAGAATATCCTGAGCTGGAAGGGACCAACAAGGATCATCCTGGCCCACTCCTGGCCCTGCACAGACACCCCAACAATCCCACCCTGTCCCTCAGAGCGTTGTCCAAACCCTCCTGGAGCTCTGACAGCCTTGTCAGCCTGCTGACAAGGGGGCAGGGTACTGCCCTGTTCAGTGCCCATCATTAAAACACTCTGACACAGGGATGGCACAGCACGGGGTTGGACGGGCTCCCTCCCTTGCCAGGACATTACTTCCTGCCCATTGATCGAGGCTGTGGGAACAATCCCTGCCCGAGTGCTCAGCTCGAGGCAGGAACACAATGTGTCCCAATTTTTTATCACTGTGCAGAATTATATAAACGCCTCAAAGCCCAGGAAAAGGGGGGAAGGAACCTGGGTCAGCCCCTGGCAGCCACGGTGCTGCTCGTTCCAGTTGAGTGGGCTGAGCTGAACATCCCCACGAGCTCCTGCTGCCCCAAAGCCACTGCTGTGGCCATGTCAGGATCCTGGCAGGGTGGGCAGCAGGATCCCACCTCCCTCCTCCTGCCTGGGCAATTAGAATCATATAATCATGAAGTGGTTTTGGCTGGAAGGGACATTAAAGCTCATCCCATTTCACCCCTCTGCCATGGGCAGGGACACCTTCCACCAGACCAGGTTGCTCCAAGCCCCGTCCAACCTGGCCTGGGACACTTCCAGGGTGTGGAGGAATGGGGTGTCAGCCCCTTGCTGAGGGTGCAGGAGATCCCCAGAACAGGCTCTTCCTCCGTACCAACAGCCCCTGTGCCCAGGACCAATTCATAATATAAATAAATATACTTATATAAAAATATCCATAGAATATCTCAAGAAACATAATTTGCTGCAATTATCTCAAATCAAGGCACGGGAAGAAGGAAATTCAATGTCACAGCTATAGTCAAATCAGAGTAAGTGAAAGCAGAAATGATCCCACAGAGCACCCAAAGCTCCTCCTGCCATCCCCCCAAGGCAGAGCGCCGACACCAGCTCAGGAGATGGGCTTCCATCATTTTCCTGGGAGCTCGAGGGAGAACTGGCCAAATCCCAAATCCATAGAAACACAAGCCCTTCTGGCTCCTCAAGCAGCAGCCTCTCAGCTCTGCATTGCTCCGGTCCAGCAGCCCCGAGGGGAGCCCTGCTCCCACCACGTCACCTCCACCAGCTCTCCACCAGGACAACCAGTGCAACAGGAACATTCCTGCTGGTCCCTGTGACACAGCACAGGACAAGCTTGTCTGGGGGCTGACATCCCTTCCTTCCCCATCTGGCGGTGGATGGTCCCCAGGAAAGCTGCTCTGCATCACGTGAAGGTCAGAAAAGACCTCCAAGATCATCCTTTGACCAACCTTCGCACAGGACACATCGAGTCCTGCAGTTACAGCTGAAGATTATCCATGAAGGGCTGGAGGAGAGAGCAGCAGAAATATTTATCCTTATTGCTCAGGATGAGGGATTCACTCATCCAGAAAGGTGGAAGAGCCACAAGCCTCTGCCTGGAGGTCTTCACTTGGAGCCCGGCCAAACGCCTCAGCACTGGGGATCCTGACCTTATTCCAGCCTTTGTATCAACTCAGCCAGGGAAAAAACAGATTTGGCTTTGCTAGGGCTGGGAAAACACCCTGAAGTTCAGGAAATACCCACACAGAGAAAGACAGAGAGAGTCTGTCCAGGGCTCCTCATTCAAGGACAGACCACAGAGGATTTGCAGGAGCAAAACTGAAACAGTCCCAGCAAAGGCACAGCACTGGGACTTCAACCCAAATGGGGGTTCCTAAGCACACTCATTCAAGACCACAAAACCTCTTGGAAGCTGGAAAAATACATACTCCTAAATACTTGGGAGTCAGGGAGTGGGGAAACATGACTCCCACGGGGCAATGGTGAGGGACACCCAGCAGACTCTGCTCCAACACTCCCAGCACTCCAGCGAGTGCATCCCAAACCACAGTGAGAGTTAGGGATGGCTTTGAAGGGGGGTTACAACACATGCAGGGCATGAGGAGGAACCAAAAGTAGGGCAGTGAGGACCTGCTGAGATGGAGGATGCTCAGGTGCTGCAGTGTGTGCAGGGAAGGGAACGGAGCTGGGAAGGGGCTGGAGCAGCAGGAGCAGCTGAGGGAGCTGGGGGGGCTCAGCCTGGAGCAAAGGAGGCTCAGGGGGGACCTTCTGGCTCTGCAACCCCCTGACAGGAGGGGGGAGCTGGGGGGGTCGGGCTCTGCTCCCAGGGAACAAGGGACAGGAGGAG